ACTCAGCACCAGCAGTCTCAGCTCCAGAGTCCACAGCAGCAGGCTGCGAAGGCGGCGAAGACGGCCGAGGCGGAAAACCAAGGGGGGTCTCCAAGCGTGGAGAGCGGCGAGTGGCCGCCGTGTCGTCAGCGGCAGGGTCACCCCCCTCTGCTGGGCCAGAGGAGTCACAAGAGACCTCCGAAGGCTCAACCAAGGGGGGTAGATCTACCTGAGACACACCTGAGGGAGCGGGACCCTGTGGGGGGAAGGGGGTCTACCGGGGGGGAGACTGGTACCAAGAAGAGAGGCGCTAGGGGGACCGGATGGGACGCGTGCGGGTGGAGCCTGTAGTAACAGACAGACTCGTCAAAGTTGACGTCCTGGGAGGAGAAGACTCGACGCGAGCGCGGGTGGTAAAACTGCCACGGCGGGGCGTCAGTGGGGAAGCCAAGGAAGACGCAGCGGAGAGTGCGAGAGGAGAGCTTGTTCGCTTTGGCATCGTGAACAAGGGAGAGCGCGCCCCAGACCTGAAACACCGACGCATCGCCAACCTTCCCCGTCCACCGTAGTGTGGGCGAGGTCTCTGGCTCAGAGACCCGGGGCCAGAGGTTGAGCTGATGCGCAGCGTACCGGACCGCAAATGGCCACAGAAAATTGGGAGCAGCTGTATGGACCATGGAGGTACGAGCAACCCCCATGATCAAGCCAATGCGACGCTAAGAAATCCCATTTTGCTGAGGAGAGGCCGGAAGCGTGAACGACTGGACGATGCCCTGGTCTCGACAGAACTCCGCAAGGAGGTCAGAACAGAACTCGCCGCCCTTGTCAGAGTGCAGACGCAGGACTGGGAAGTCGTGACTGAACCGCTCGCGCAGGTGTCGATGAGTAGCACGGATCCAGGGGATCAAAACACCGCTAACATCCGCCTTGCGCCGCAAGGGGAAGACAGTGGTGTAACGTGTGTAGTCGTCAACAACCAGCAGGAAGTAGCACTCCTGGTCCGTTCCACCGACGGGGGCTGGGCCTCAAACGTCCATGTGGAGAGTCTGCAGAGGAGCAGTGGTAGGAGGAAACTCGGAGGAGTGAGGAGCGGCGCGCTGCAGCCCCTCGACGCAGGGAAGGCACGGCGGGGCAGGCGAGCGCGGGAGGGAGGGCAGGGACCTCGGAAGGCCAGAGACAAGGAGATGGGAGTGCATACCACGGAGACGCGGTAGGGAGGGGTGACAAATGTCGTGGTGCCAGAGGAGAGTCTGGGGGGAGAGTACCCGACACGAGCAAGACGCTGCAAGCTGACCAGACGCAGACACCTGACTCGACGCAGCCACCTGACCTGCCGCAGCCACCTGTGCAGACGCAGTGGTCAGTGTGTACAGACTAGACCCAGGCCGTCGAATGAACGTAGCCAGGTGACGGCCAGTTCGGGAGCATGTACATATTGCCACACGCTGCCCTCTAGGAATAAAGTTATCAAGCCAGACATCTTGAATGGCAGCGTTGCTTACCAAGTTCGTCGAGAACGTGGGGAGGTGGAGACCTAACAAAGAACCGGAGGGGACTGCTGGAGACGGGAGGACAGTGGAGGCTCGCTCGACTGCTGGGCCCCCTGTGGGGTCAGCCAGTGAGACCGGTACCGGTGCAGCAAGTGGTGTGAGTGAGGTGCAGTCACGAAAGAAGCAACGTGACGCGCCTGAGTCAAGTGTGAAAGTGTGGAAGGCCTCAGCTGAGGAAGGACCTGTGGCGGGAGGCGCACGAGCACCTAAAGTTACAGCAGACTCACTAGCACCTAGTGCGGCAACAGACTCACTAGCACCTAGTGCAGCAGCCTCGACAGAACTAGTGACACATCGCTGAGGAAACAACTCACTAAGCACCTGCGGGGAGAAGGTCTCTTGCTGACTCTGCTGCCGCCTCTGCACAGTACATAGAAAACCAAAGCCCCCACCACCTGGACGGGCTCGCTGAAGAACCCACTCGCGAAGCTGCTGAGGGGTGGGGTCGTCCGGGAGAGGCAGTGACCGCCGCTGTCCACCCCTAGCTGCTGCAACTGCCGTGATAGTGGCCATGACAGGCAGTGACGGTCAGTAGTAGGTCCAGCACCTCCAGCACCAGCAACACCTCCAGCACTCCGAGCAGCACCTCCACCAGCAGCAGCAGTAGAAAGGAGCAGTGGAAGCAAGGAGAAGCAGCAGTAAGTAGTAGCAGCAGCAGGGAGCAGCAGCAGCAAGGAGCATCAGCTGCAGTAAGTAGCAGCACTTAGAAGGAGAAGCAGAGCATGCAGCAGTGGCAGCAGCAGCAGAGCATGTAGCAGTGGTAGCAGCAGCAGCGCATGCAGCAGTGGCAGCAGCAGGCTGAGCAGCATCAGCAAGGGCTGTAGTGGTAGCAGCAAGGGCTGTGGTGGCAGCAGCAAGGGCTGTAGCGGCAGCAGCAAGGGCTGTAGCGGCAGAAGCAAGGGCTGTAGCGGCAGCAGCAACGGCTGTAGCTGCACCAGCAGGGCTGTAGCAGCAGCAGCAAGGGCTGTAGCTGCAGTAGAAGGGGCTGGGGCGGCAGCAGCAGGGGCTGTAGCGGCAGCAGCAAGGGCTGTAGCAGCAGCAGCAAGGGCTGTAGCTGCACCAGCAGGGCTGTAGCTGCAGTAACAGGGGCTGGAGCGGCAGCAGCAGGGGCTGTAGCGGCAGCAGCAAGGGCTGTAGCGGCAGCAGCAAGGGCTGTGGCTGCACCAGCAGGGCTGTAGCTGCAGTAACAGGGGCTGGAGCAGCAGCAGCAGGGGCTGTAGCGGCAGCAGCAAGGGATGTAGCAGCAGCAGCAAGGGCTGTAGCTGCACTAGCAGGGCTGTAGCTGCAGTAGAAGGGGCTGGGGCAGCAGCAGCAGGGGCTGTAGCTGCAGCAGCAAGGGCTGTAGCTGCACCAGTAGGGCTGTAGCTGCAGTAACAGGGGCTGGAGCGGCAGCAGCAGGGGCGCGATTCGAGTAGGAAAAACGGCCTGCGTAGGGGCGCGATTCAGGCAGGAAAAACGGCCAGCCTAGGGGCGCGATTTGGGCAGGAAAAACGGCCTGCCTAGGGGCGCGATTCGGGTAGGAAAAACGGCCTGCCTAGGGGCGCGATTCGGGCAGGAAAAACGGCCTGCCTAGGGGCGCGATTCGGGTAGGAAAAACGGCCTGCCTAGGGGCGCGATTTGGGCAGGAAAAACGGCCAGCCTAGGGGCGCGATTCGGGCAGGAAAAACGGCCAGCCTAGGGGCGCAATTCGGACAGGAAAAACGGCCTGCCTAGGGGCGCGATTTGGGCAGGAAAAACGGCCTGCCTAGGGGCGCGATTCGGGTAGGAAAAACGGCCTGCCTGGGGGCGCGATTCGGGAAGGAAAAACGGCCAGCCTAGGGGCGCGATTCGGGGCAGAAAAACGGCCTGCATGGGGGCGCGATTCGGGCAGGAAAAACGGCCTGCCTAGGGGCGCGATTCGGGCAGGAAAAACGGCCAGCCTAGAGGCGCGATTCGGGGAGGAAAAACGGCCTGCATAGGGGCGCGATTCGGGCGGAAAAAACGGCCTGCCTAGGGGCGCGATTCGGGCAGGAAAATGGGCAGTACGGAACTAACGGTGGGCCCTAAACGAGTGGTCTTACAGATGGACCTGCTCTGATACCATTTCGAGAGAACTGTGCAGGAATGATTGGATTAGCAAGAGTTGGGGTACAAGTACTAACCCTAGAAGTGCTGTACCCCATAAAGAGTGCCCCACTATAGCCTACAAATAAGATTGTACTTTGACAAGTCGCACTGTCAGCTGTGGCGGGAGGGGCGAGAGAGGCTCCAGACGTGTGGTCAAACAACGAAACGCTGTCTCTGAAATCGCTCAGTAGGTACAGCTGTAAGTCGTCGAGTCACGTATCGAACTGGATCGGGCTGAGAGAAGCCATAGCGGGCAGAGCAGGGTGGCGCGCGACCAGTAGAACAGCACCCAGGCAGGGCGGTGCGCGAGCACTAGGGAAGCGCGCAAGGCAGGGAAGGGCGGGCAGCAGCCATGCGGCGCAAGCAGCAAGGGGGGCTGCAAAAGGGCGGCAAGCGGGCTGCCAGAGGGCGGCATGAGGGCTGCAAAGGGGCGGCGAGCGGGCTGGAAAGGGGCAGCAAGCGGGCTGCCAGCGGGCGGCGCGCAGGCTGCAAGGGGCGGCGAGCGGGCCGCAAGGCGCGGCGAGCGGGCCGCAAGGGGTGGCGAGCGGGCTGCAAGGGGCGGCGCGCAGGCTGCAAGGGGTGGCGAGCGACTGCAAGGGTCGGCGAGCAGGCTGCCAGAGGGCGGCTCGCGGGCTGCAAGGGGCGGCAAGCGGGCCGCAAGTGGGTGGCGAGCGGGCCGCAAGTGGGTGGCGAGCGGGCCGCAAGGGCGGCTCGCGGGCCGCAGGCGACCAGCGAGCGGGTTGTAGAGGCGGCGAGCGGGCCGCAAGCGGGCAGCGAGAGGGCTGCAAGGGCGGCGAGCAGGCCGTACGCGGGCGACGGGCGGGCCGCAAGGGCGGCGAACGGGCTGCAAGCTGGCGGCGAGCGGGCTGCAGGGGCGGCAAGCGGGCCGCAAGCGAGCGGCGAGCGGGCTGCAGGGGCGGCGAGCGGGCTGCAAGCGGACGGCGAGCGGGCTGCAGGGGCAGCGAGCGAGCTACAGGGGCGGCGCGCTGGCTGCAGGGGCGGCGCGCGGGCTACAGGGGCGGCTCGCGGGCTGCTAATGGGCAGTGCGACGGGGTGCAAAAGGCGGCACAGCGGCCAGCAGGGCGGCGCGCCGTTAGGGCAGGGTGGCAGGGCAGCTAGTGGGGCAACTCTGTGGTGGGCCCTAAGAAAAATCGGTCCTAGGGAAAGACCTGCTTTGAATCCATGTCAAACTATAGAACGAGAATGATTGGATTGAACAAAAAGTTGGGTACAATTACTAACCCTAATTGGGTTGTACCCTTTATGGGCTACCCCACTACAGCCTACACAATGTAAGCACTAAATAAGTTTGACAATAACAACCACATTATTGCGATGTGAACCGATGCACCACAACACATCACGTCACAGGCTGTTGGCAAGGCGCATTGCCAGCTGGCAGTGGCTCTTGGCTTCCTCGAGGCGCTTCAGCAGCGTCTCCTCCTTCACAGCAGCGCCCACCATCTGCATGTCCACACCCAGCAGCTGCACCACCCGCATCAACTCAAACAGCACCTGCTGCCGGTTCACTGCCCCCACCTTCCCGCCTTCACCACCCCCGCCTGCTGCTACTCCCTCCACCGCCACACCCTCCATCCCACTCCGCGGAACAGCCGCTGCGCCAGTGCGCACAGGGGCGGAAGCAGCAGCAGCGGCGCCCCCGCCCCCCTCGCCTTCTTGCCGGAGCGCCTGCACCTCCTTCTCCACACGCGCCAGCACCACCCGTCCCGCCGCCGCGATGCTCTGCCCCGACCCGAACGGGCGGTCCAGCAGCCCGCCGAACACAAATAGCACGTCGAGAATCGCCTCCACGCGCGTCGGCGCCGGCGCCTGCCACTCCGCCCTGCGCCGCATCGCCTCCTCCAACACGGGGTCCGCCTCGCCCCCTTCCTCCCCCTCCTGGCCTTGCTGCGTCTTCAGCGACCCGTTTTCCCCCTCCGATGCTGCTGCCGCCCTCACCGCTCGGCGCGCTGCTGCTTCTGCTGCTGCCGCTGCCGTATGCAGCCCCGTGAAGGCCCGGGCAGGGTGAGCGAGTGCAGGGGGGAATGCCGCTGGCCTGCCGTGTAGCGAGGCGACGGGCTGGCGTGGTGTGATGGTGGGCATGAGAACGCATGGCGGCACAAGCGCGGTGTGTGCCATGAGGGCAGGGGAGAGATGGACAGCTGCAGCGGCGCGTGGCGCAGTGGAGAGGGGCAAGGGAGCGTGGATTAGGGTTACTTATTAGAGGGATGAGGTAGTGAAGGAGATGGTATGGGGAAGCGGGAGCGAGGGGTATAGGGGGAGTAAGGGCGGGTTTCGATTGCTCAAGTGAAGGCACGGGTGTTGAACCAGCTTGGAATACGCTTGTAACCAGGTGTTGTCTTGGGTGATGTGCTGCAATCCAATTTGCAGAGCTGGGATTGACGAAGTCAGCGCTCTTCGTGCACCATCCGTGACCAAGATCCTCCCCACACCCCAAACCGTTCCTGACTTGCAAAGTGGGGTTTTACGTGTTACCTGGCGAAATGTGTCGCACACAGTTCACGACACCAAATGTTCGAGCGAAGTGACCAAACACCGCACGACCCTGAGGTTTGGCGCGATTACTCGGTTCACTCAGAGGTGAACCTTGTTGATGATTGTAAATCACTAAAATGTTTCCTTTGATAAACTGCAATACATGAAAATATGCGGAATTAGGAGTTTTTTTCGCTGACTTTATCCGGAAACATGCGAAACCGCACTGTACCCTTTCTAGACGTTCTGGGAGTCGTATGCCAGGACACATCTCCTCAAGGGTGTTGGTTGATGCCATCGCATTCACAGGTTGCCACTCAAGTTTTTACACATGTGTTTTATAGAACTGTGGTGCGAGCTCAGGCAACCAGAGAGCATCAATGCGGGTGACACCGCGTGCATACAGCCTGTTGGTGCGAACCATCTCATTGAACACTATGCAGTCCGGCAGATGCGCACGTGCAGGTGCTGCCTGCTGCTCGCCCCCACTCTTGCTGCTCTTGCTGCGGTTGCTGCCGCCGCCCCCTCTGCTGCCACCAATGGTGCTACTGCTGGTGGCGGCGCCGCTGAAGAGAACCGAGGATGGGTGGATCGCCACCACCTGCCCGCTGGCTAGTGCCCTGAGAGGATTGGGATCACAGGGGGGAAGGGCGAGAGGAGGATGCAGGTATGCTTAAATAGTGAAGGCAGGCAGAGGTTGGGTAAATTGCCACCACCTGCCCACTCGCTAGTGACCTGGGAAGGTGAGGGTGCAGTGCAGGTGAGAAGGCAGAGAGGGGGGCAATATAAAGGCAGGCAGAAAGTGGTGGTGATAACAAGGCCAGGCGGGCCTGAAGAGCAGAGCATCTGAGAGCATGGCACCTGAAATCATGGCACCTGAGAGCATGGCACCTGAGAGCATGGCACCTGAGAGCATGGCACCTGAGAGCATGGCACCTGAGAGCATGGCACCTGAGAGCATGGCACCTGAGAGCATGGCACCTGAGAGCATGGCACCTGAGAGCATGGCACCTGAGAGCACGGCAACTGAGAGCACGGCAACTGAGAGCACGGCACCTGAGAGCATGGCACCTGAAAGCATGGCAACTGAGAGCACGGCACCTGAGAGCACGGCAACTGAGAGCACGGCAACTGAGAGCACGGCACCTGAGAGCACGGAAACTGAGAGCATGGCAACTGAGAGCACAGAAACCGAGAGCGGTGTGCGCATGAGGGTGCGCGAGGCTATCACTGCATTCTCAACATGCATGGTCCTTGAGGTGCTTCAGAAATCACTCGACAAGTACTGGTCCTTGAGGCGCTTCAGAAATCACTCGAAAAGTACTGGTCCTTCCACCCTCCCAAGATGTTGTTGCCCACCCTCAGGTACCTGTACATGCCCACCCTCAGGTACCTGTACTTGCCCACCCTCAGGTACCTGTACATGCCCACCCTCAGGTACCTGTACATGCCCACCCTCAGGTACCTGTACGTGCCCACCATCAGGTACCTGTACATGCCCACCCTCAGGTACCTGTACATGCCCACCCTCAGGTACCTGTACGTGCCCACCCTCAGGTACCTGTACATGCCCACCCTCAGGTACCTGTACGTGCCCACCCTCAGGTACCTGTACGTGCCGTCAGCTTGCTTCTTGGCAGCGTTGGCAAAGAAGGCTGCTGTCAGCGCCCGGCGAAACGCTACTGACTCGTCCCGCTGCTGCGCTGCTGCTGCTGCTGCGGTGCCCGTGGCTGCAAGTCCTGATGACGACGGAGGTAGAGTCGAGTTGGAGACAACAGGTAGAGAGAGGGCGTGACAGTACGCTTGCAGTTGCCTGCGGTGAATACGGCACGGGAGTGCGGCGGGACATGCAGACAGGGGGAGAGGAGTGCGGGACATGCAGACAGGGGGAGAGGAGTGCGGGACATGCAGACAGGGGGAGAGGAGTGCTGGACATGCAGACAGGGGGAGAGGAGTGCGGGACATGCAGACAGGGGGAGAGGAGTGCGGGACATGCAGACAGGGGGAGAGGAGTGCGAGACGTGCAGACAGGGGGAGAGGAGCGAGGGACGTGCAGACAGGGGGAGAGGAGCGAGGGACGTGCAGACAGGGGGAGAGGAGCGAGGGACGTGCAGACAGGGGGAGAGGAGCGAGGGACGTGCAGACAGGGGGAGAGGAGCGAGGGACGTGCAGACAGGGGGAGAGGAGCGAGGGACTTGCAGACAGGGGGAGAGGAGCGAGGGACGTGCAGACAGGGGGAGAGGAGCGAGGGACGTGCAGACAGGGGGAGAGGAGCGAGGGACGTGCAGACAGGGGGAGAGGAGCGAGGGACGTGCAGACAGGGGGAGAGGAGCGAGGGACTTGCAGACAGGGGGAGAGGAGCGAGGGACGTGCAGACAGGGGGTGAGGAGCGAGGGACGTGCAGACAGGGGGAGAGGGCAGACAGGGGGAGAGGAGCGAGGGACGTGCAGACAGGGGGAGAGGAGCAGACAGGGGGAGAGGAGCGAGGGACGTGCAGACAGGGGGAGAGGAGCGAGGGACGTGCAGACAGGGGGAGAGGAGCGAGGGACGTGCAGACAGGGGGAGAGGAGCGAGGGACGTGCAGACAGGGGGAGAGGAGCGAGGGACGTGCAGACAGGGGGAGAGGAGCGAGGGACATGCAGACAGGGGGAGAGGAGCGAGGGACGTGCAGACAGGGGGAGAGGAGCGAGGGACGTGCAGACAGGGGGAGAGGAGTGCGGGACATGCAGACAGGGGGAGAGGAGCGAGGGACGTGCAGACAGGGGGAGAGGAGTGCTGGACATGCAGACAGGGGGAGAGGAGCGAGGGACATGCAGACAGGGGGAGAGGAGCGAGGGACGTGCAGACAGGGGGAGAGGAGCGAGGAACGTGCAGACAGGGGGAGAGGAGCGAGGGACGTGCAGACAGGGGGAGAGGAGCGAGGGACGTGCAGACAGGGGGAGAGGAGCGAGGGATGTGCAGACAGGGGGAGAGGAGCGAGGGACGTGCAGACAGGGGGAGAGGAGCGAGGGACGTGCAGACAGGGGGAGAGGAGCGAGGAACGTGCAGACAGGGGGAGAGGAGCGAGGGACGTGCAGACAGGGGGAGAGGAGCGAGGGACGTGCAGACAGGGGGAGAGGAGCGAGGGACGTGCAGACAGGGGGAGAGGAGCGAGGGACGTGCAGACAGGGGGAGAGGAGCGAGGGACGTGCAGACAGGGGGAGAGGAGCGAGGGACTTGCAGACAGGGGGAGAGGAGCGAGGGACGTGCAGACAGGGGGAGAGGAGCGAGGGACGTGCAGACAGGGGGAGAGGAGCGAGGGACGTGCAGACAGGGGGAGAGGAGCGAGGGACGTGCAGACAGGGGGAGAGGAGCGAGGGACATGCAGACAGGGGGAGAGGAGCGAGGGACGTGCAGACAGGGGGAGAGGAGCGAGGGACGTGCAGACAGGGGGAGAGGAGCGAGGGACGTGCAGACAGGGGGAGAGGAGCGAGGGACGTGCAGACAGGGGGAGAGGAGCGAGGGACTTGCAGACAGGGGGAGAGGAGCGAGGGACGTGCAGACAGGGGGAGAGGAGCGAGGGACGTGCAGACAGGGGGAGAGGAGCGAGGGACGTGCAGACAGGGGGAGAGGAGCGAGGGACGTGCAGACAGGGGGAGAGGAGCGAGGGACGTGCAGACAGGGGGAGAGGAGCGAGGGACGTGCAGACAGGGGGAGAGGAGCGAGGGACGTGCAGACAGGGGGAGAGGAGCGAGGGACGTGCAGACAGGGGGAGAGGAGCGAGGGACGTGCAGACAGGGGGAGAGGAGCGAGGGACGTGCAGACAGGGGGAGAGGAGCGAGGGACGTGCAGACAGGGGGAGAGGAGCGAGGGACGTGCAGACAGGGGGAGAGGAGCGAGGGACGTGCAGACAGGGGGAGAGGAGCGAGGGACGTGCAGACAGGGGGAGAGGAGCGAGGGACGTGCAGACAGGGGGAGAGGAGCGAGGGACGTGCAGACAGGGGGAGAGGAGCGAGGGACGTGCAGACAGGGGGAGAGGAGCGAGGGACTTGCAGACAGGGGGAGAGGAGCGAGGGACGTGCAGACAGGGGGAGAGGAGCGAGGGACGTGCAGACAGGGGGAGAGGAGCGAGGGACGTGCAGACAGGGGGAGAGGAGCGAGGGACGTGCAGACAGGGGGAGAGGAGCGAGGGACGTGCAGACAGGGGGAGAGGAGCGAGGGACGTGCAGACAGGGGGAGAGGAGCGAGGGACGTGCAGACAGGGGGAGAGGAGCGAGGGACGTGCAGACAGGGGGAGAGGAGCGAGGGACGTGCAGACAGGGGGAGAGGAGCGAGGGACGTGCAGACAGGGGGAGAGGAGCGAGGGACTTGCAGACAGGGGGAGAGGAGCGAGGGACGTGCAGACAGGGGGAGAGGAGCGAGGGACGTGCAGACAGGGGGAGAGGAGCGAGGGACGTGCAGACAGGGGGAGAGGAGCGAGGGACGTGCAGACAGGGGGAGAGGAGCGAGGGACTTGCAGACAGGGGGAGAGGAGCGAGGGACGTGCAGACAGGGGGTGAGGAGCGAGGGACGTGCAGACAGGGGGAGAGGGCAGACAGGGGGAGAGGAGCGAGGGACGTGCAGACAGGGGGAGAGGAGCAGACAGGGGGAGAGGAGCGAGGGACGTGCAGACAGGGGGAGAGGAGCGAGGGACGTGCAGACAGGGGGAGAGGAGCGAGGGACGTGCAGACAGGGGGAGAGGAGCGAGGGACGTGCAGACAGGGGGAGAGGAGCGAGGGACGTGCAGACAGGGGGAGAGGAGCGAGGGACATGCAGACAGGGGGAGAGGAGCGAGGGACGTGCAGACAGGGGGAGAGGAGCGAGGGACGTGCAGACAGGGGGAGAGGAGTGCGGGACATGCAGACAGGGGGAGAGGAGCGAGGGACGTGCAGACAGGGGGAGAGGAGTGCTGGACATGCAGACAGGGGGAGAGGAGCGAGGGACATGCAGACAGGGGGAGAGGAGCGAGGGACGTGCAGACAGGGGGAGAGGAGCGAGGAACGTGCAGACAGGGGGAGAGGAGCGAGGGACGTGCAGACAGGGGGAGAGGAGCGAGGGACGTGCAGACAGGGGGAGAGGAGCGAGGGATGTGCAGACAGGGGGAGAGGAGCGAGGGACGTGCAGACAGGGGGAGAGGAGCGAGGGACGTGCAGACAGGGGGAGAGGAGCGAGGAACGTGCAGACAGGGGGAGAGGAGCGAGGGACGTGCAGACAGGGGGAGAGGAGCGAGGGACGTGCAGACAGGGGGAGAGGAGCGAGGGACGTGCAGACAGGGGGAGAGGAGCGAGGGACGTGCAGACAGGGGGAGAGGAGCGAGGGACGTGCAGACAGGGGGAGAGGAGCGAGGGACTTGCAGACAGGGGGAGAGGAGCGAGGGACGTGCAGACAGGGGGAGAGGAGCGAGGGACGTGCAGACAGGGGGAGAGGAGCGAGGGACGTGCAGACAGGGGGAGAGGAGCGAGGGACGTGCAGACAGGGGGAGAGGAGCGAGGGACATGCAGACAGGGGGAGAGGAGCGAGGGACGTGCAGACAGGGGGAGAGGAGCGAGGGACGTGCAGACAGGGGGAGAGGAGCGAGGGACGTGCAGACAGGGGGAGAGGAGCGAGGGACGTGCAGACAGGGGGAGAGGAGCGAGGGACTTGCAGACAGGGGGAGAGGAGCGAGGGACGTGCAGACAGGGGGAGAGGAGCGAGGGACGTGCAGACAGGGGGAGAGGAGCGAGGGACGTGCAGACAGGGGGAGAGGAGCGAGGGACGTGCAGACAGGGGGAGAGGAGCGAGGGACGTGCAGACAGGGGGAGAGGAGCGAGGGACGTGCAGACAGGGGGAGAGGAGCGAGGGACGTGCAGACAGGGGGAGAGGAGCGAGGGACGTGCAGACAGGGGGAGAGGAGCGAGGGACGTGCAGACAGGGGGAGAGGAGCGAGGGACGTGCAGACAGGGGGAGAGGAGCGAGGGACGTGCAGACAGGGGGAGAGGAGCGAGGGACGTGCAGACAGGGGGAGAGGAGCGAGGGACTTGCAGACAGGGGGAGAGGAGCGAGGGACGTGCAGACAGGGGGAGAGGAGCGAGGGACGTGCAGACAGGGGGAGAGGAGCGAGGGACGTGCAGACAGGGGGAGAGGAGCGAGGGACGTGCAGACAGGGGGAGAGGAGCGAGGGACGTGCAGACAGGGGGAGAGGAGCGAGGGACGTGCAGACAGGGGGAGAGGAGCGAGGGACGTGCAGACAGGGGGAGAGGAGCGAGGGACGTGCAGACAGGGGGAGAGGAGCGAGGGACGTGCAGACAGGGGGAGAGGAGCGAGGGACGTGCAGACAGGGGGAGAGGAGCGAGGGACGTGCAGACAGGGGGAGAGGAGCGAGGGACGTGCAGACAGGGGGAGAGGAGCGAGGGACGTGCAGACAGGGGGAGAGGAGCGAGGGACGTGCAGACAGGGGGAGAGGAGCGAGGGACGTGCAGACAGGGGGAGAGGAGCGAGGGACTTGCAGACAGGGGGAGAGGAGCGAGGGACGTGCAGACAGGGGGAGAGGAGCGAGGGACGTGCAGACAGGGGGAGAGGAGCGAGGGACGTGCAGACAGGGGGAGAGGAGCGAGGGACGTGCAGACAGGGGGAGAGGAGCGAGGGACTTGCAGACAGGGGGAGAGGAGCGAGGGACGTGCAGACAGGGGGAGAGGAGCGAGGGACGTGCAGACAGGGGGAGAGGAGCGAGGGACGTGCAGACAGGGGGAGAGGAGCGAGGGACTTGCAGACAGGGGGAGAGGAGCGAGGGACGTGCAGACAGGGGGAGAGGAGCGAGGGACGTGCAGACAGGGGGAGAGGAGCGAGGGACGTGCAGACAGGGGGAGAGGAGCGAGGGACGTGCAGACAGGGGGAGAGGAGCGAGGGACGTGCAGACAGGGGGAGAGGAGCGAGGGACGTGCAGACAGGGGGAGAGGAGCGAGGGACGTGCAGACAGGGGGAGAGGAGCGAGGGACTTGCAGACAGGGGGAGAGGAGCGAGGGACGTGCAGACAGGGGGAGAGGAGCGAGGGACGTGCAGACAGGGGGAGAGGAGCGAGGGACGTGCAGACAGGGGGAGAGGAGCGAGGGACGTGCAGACAGGGGGAGAGGAGCGAGGGACTTGCAGACAGGGGGAGAGGAGCGAGGGACGTGCAGACAGGGGGAGAGGAGCGAGGGACGTGCAGACAGGGGGAGAGGAGCGAGGGACGTGCAGACAGGGGGAGAGGAGCGAGGGACGTGCAGACAGGGGGAGAGGAGCGAGGGACGTGCAGACAGGGGGAGAGGAGCGAGGGACGTGCAGACAGGGGGAGAGGAGCGAGGGACTTGCAGACAGGGGGAGAGGAGTGAGGGACGTGCAGACAGGGGGAGAGGAGCGAGGGACTTGCAGACAGGGGGAGAGGAGCGAGGGACTTGCAGATTGGAGGAAGGGAGTGAGGGAGATGCAGAGAGGAGTGGAATGAGGGACATGACAGTTATGAGCCTGGGTAGACAAGTGCCTTGTTTTGAAAACATACTGACCGTAAACCTCACACAGGAGAACATCAAGGCCCATGCATCCATGTGCATGCACATTCTCACTGGCACACATCGGCCGCGCTCTCACCGGTAAACATCGGCTGCTTTCTTGAGTGAGCGCCCATTGAGGTACTGTGCCTTGCACCATGCCCGCACCCTCCCCTCCTTCGCCTTTGCCTGCCGCCCAAACCCCTGAACCCCACCACCACCACTCCCCCCGTTGTTGCTCCCATCACGTGTCATGTCATCAGCCTCAGTGTTTTCGCTGCCCGCTGCCAGATAGCCTCGCAGCACGTTCACCAGCGTAAGATGGTCGCCGTCCGGGCAGAAAAATCTCTTCTGGGCAGCATGAGCCTGTGAGGGAGAGAACACATTATGTAACAAAGTGAAGGGAAATGAGGAATGATCATGTAACGCAATCACAAAAAGTCGTATACGATTCCATGTAACCTCAGCATGATGACTTAGTTCAAGCTACGTCAGTCAGCGCAAAATTGGCCATGTGACATGAGCAACAGCTATGCCATGCCACGTCAGCAGCAGTACATCATCAGCAGCAGCATTACCTCAGCAGCAGCATGTGAGGGCGTGTGGAAGGGTGAGTCCACGGAGAGCATGGCCACTGCTGCCACCATGTCGTCCGCCACCCCTGCTGTCCCCAGTCGGTAAGCTTCCAGTATGGCCTGGGGTAGAGTTGGAGAGGGTGACAGTGATGGATGTGCGCATACAGAGTATGGAGGATATATGTGGGTGTGATGGCCTTTGTCTGCTCGCTGCTGTCACCATGCCATCCGCCTCCGCTGCTGACCCCAAGGCGATACGTCTCCAGTATGGCCTCGGGGAGGAAGAGAGGAGGGTGGCAGAGTGAGAGGGTGTGCGCCTCCTCATGCTGCTGGGCCTGCAGTAACACTGCTGATGAAGGAGCAGATGGTGAAAAAAAATGCCCTGGGCGGTGAAGAGGAGCATGCCCTGGGCGGTGAAGAGGAGCATGCTCCTCCCCCATGGCACACGCAATACGCCTTGGTCGCCTGCTGTGTGTTCACCTGTGTGCACTCGCTCACCTACCTTGGCGTAAAGCTTTATTTTAGGCGAGCTGCAGTCTAGTAGAAATCTTTAGCAAGTGATAGACAGTAGTAAAAATTTTGGCCCTGTAAACAACCAAGAAAACTGAAATCCGAACTCTTATTCCACTATAGGATTAAAACGCGAACATGTTTCGGTCGACTGGGACAGGCCCCAAGTCAAACCTTCATTAGCGCTAGCAGAATGAAAGACAAGAGTGGGAACGAAGCCCTTAAGTAAGAACTACGTTTCGAGAAACCAGAAATCTAGGCGCGTAATAACCGTGGCTGAAATCTGGGCAGCCAATCCAGAGCACCCTGGAAAAAACCGAGGGGCTCGGGTCTTCATTCCTCGAGGCGTAACGTGGAATTCTCACTCTTCGTCAACGGTAGCTTCGGGAGCCTCGCGCGAACAAGTAACTTTTGCAAGTTACACCCAGCCTTCCAAGCCACAAATAATCTCTCCGTATAAAATCCGCGTGAAAGTAATCTAGTTTTGAGACGTCTCAAAACTGCACTCGCTCACCTACCTTGGCGTACACCTGCATGGGCCCGCCTTGGCATGCGCCCACCTTGGCATGCGCCCACCTTGGCATGCACCCGCCCACCCACCTTGGCAAAGGCAGGGTCAAGGGGGAAGCGTGCCATGTGTTTCCCCTGTGCTTACAGCAGTGCATCCGCCCCATCCGCATTGGCTCACACCTGCGAACGCGCACCCACGCACCTTGGCAAAGACGGGGTCGAGGGGGAAGCGGGCCATGTGTTTCCCCTGTGGCGACAGGCTCCCCTCTGGTGTCAGCGCTCCCAGCGAGAACAGATGCTCCAGGGCCCGCAGTATGGCCGACCTGTAAAGGTGGGGAGAGTGCACAGAGGGGTGAGAGAAGGGGGGTGAAGAGAGGGAAGCGGGCCATGTGTTTCCCCTGTGGCGACAGCCGCCCCTCCGGTGTGAGCAATAGATGCTCCAAAGCTCGCAGTATGGCCGCCCTGTAAAGGTGGGGAGAGTGCACAGAGGGGTGAGAGAAGGGGGGTGAAGAGAGGGAAGCGGGCCATGTGTTTCCCCTGTGGCGACAGGCTCCCCTCTGGTGTCAGCGCTCCCAGCGAGAACAGATGCTCCAGGGCCCGCAGTATGGCCGACCTGTAAAGGTGGGGAGAGTGCACAGAGGGGTGAGAGAAGGGGGGTGAAGAGAGGGAAGCGGGCCATGTGTTTCCCCTGTGGCGACAGCCGCCCCTCCGGTGTGAGCAATAGATGCTCCAAAGCTCGCAGTATGGCCGCCCTGTAAAGGTGGGGAGAGTGCACAGAGGGGTGAGAGAAGGGGGGTGAAGAGAGGGAAGCGGGCCATGTGTTTCCCCTGTGGCGACAGCCGCCCCTCCGGTGTGAGCACTCCCAGTGAGAACAGATGCTCCAGCGCTCGCAGTATGGCCGCCCTGGAAGGGGGAGGGGGCACAGGAGGGAGAGAAGGGGCAAGGAGGAAAGAAGGATGAGAGACTGGTAGTGCGGATGGATGGAGGGGAGTGCTGGTCATAAGCCTCAGAGGTTTTAGTAGAGAGGGCACTGGAGGGTGTTAGAGAGAGCAATGAGTTGTAGCAGCACCACAGCGCTGCTAGCTGCAGGAACACAGACGCAAGGCCTTTAGGGCCTTCACGGCCGTTTCCAGCACCTGCAATCCTGACAACAAGTCAAGGAGGGACACAACAAGTCAAGGAGGGACACAACAAGTCAAGGAGGGACACAACAAGTCAAGGAGGGACACAACAAGTCAAGGAGGGACACAACAAGTCAAGGAGGGACACAACAAGTCAAGGAGGGACACCACAAGCCACTCACTGTGGCGGTGGGTCGTGGAAGGGGAAGGAGAGCACGTCCTCCACGCCCAGAGCCATGAGTTGCAAGCTAGCTAGCTCGTGCTGCACGACACAATAGTGCTGTTACCCGCATGAGCATGGACGAACGGGTGGGTGGATCAGCACCTGCAAGCCTGGATAGGACAACAAGAGTCCAGGGGGAACGCAACGAGCGACTCACTGTGGTGGCGGGTCGAGGAAGGGGAAGGAGAGGAGGTCCTTGACCCCGAGGGCGATGAGTTGCAGCACGACAGAGGCGAGGTTGCAGCGCAGCATCTCCGGCACGGGCGCCTCTGGCAGCGCCTCGAACGTGCCTTCTGTGTACAGCCGGTAGCACTTGCCTGGCGCCTCCCTGCCCGCTCGCCCACTGCAAGAGAGGATGGAAAGTGGGAGGGAGGCAATGGAGGGATGGATTGAGGGAGTCAACAGAGGTGCTGAGTGGGAGTGGAGAGTGGGAGGGAGCAGAGAGGGCGCAAAGGCAGAGGCCACTCGGTTGCACCTTCACCAGTGATGTCTGGAAGTTGAGATGAGGGTGAAAAAACCACATGCAGTGTTCCCCCACTCCCACCACATGCCCCCGACCTTCTCAGCCCACAGTTGCTCACACCTCCTTCCTCCGCCCACTTTCAAACCAGCCAATCTCCCTGCATCCCTCCCCCCCGTGTTCCCCACTCCGCACCTCCCTCCGCCCACGCATACCCAGCTCCCACCGGCCCCTTCTCCGGCGGGCCTGCGGCCCTGCGCCTTGGACATGGGCACAACGACGAGCTAGACAACGCCAGTTGAATGCCCTCGCCTTCACTGCCTGCCTGACCGCACTGCATGCACCCACCTCCTCTGCGCATCCATGCCTCCCACCCTCCATCTACCCGCACCCAGCCATGCCCCTTTACCACGCACCTCCGTTGGCGAGCCTGTGTGTTGGACACGGGCAGGACCACCAGCGAGTCAGCCCCCGTTGAACGCCCTCGCCTTCACTGCCTGCCTGCACTGCCTTCTTTTCACTCCATGTTCCCTAAACTCACAGCTGCGTCCCCCCTCTTCCTCACCTCCTCTGCCGAGCCTGTGCCTTGGACACGGGCACGACCACCAGCGAGTCAACCCCCGTGCGGCAGTTGAACGCCCGCGCCTTCACCAGCCCTGCATCCACCACGAAGCGAATCCCCGGGATGGTCACTGACGTCTCCGCTATGTTGGTTGCTAGCACCACCTGGGGGAGAGGAGAGAAAGGGGTTTGAAGAGTGGAGGGTGGAGGGCGGACTCAGGCAGAGCGCAGTTGAAGGGCCGGGCTCTGCATCCCCCACAAAGCGGATCCCCGGGATGGTCATGGAGGTCTGTGCTATGTTGATCGCCAGCGCCAACCCAACCGACCCCAATCCAACCCAGCCCAACCCAATCGAACGAAACCGTTCACCCAAAGCGCCCATACCCTAACCCCGGCCCCACCCCTCCACCCCGCACCGCTCTGCACCTTTCTGCACCCAGCGGGGGCGGGGCGGAACACGTTCATCTGCTGCTCCGCTGGCAGCGCCGCATAGATGGGCGCCACAGCCAGCGGCGGCGTGCCGGGAGGAAGCTTCGCCGCACGTTCCTGCAGCAGCCTGGCCATGGCCTCTATGTCCTCCTGCCCCGTGAGGAACACGAGAATATCCCCCGCCTGCCCTGGGGCTGTGCCCTCTATAGGGTGATCCGTGTGTATCTGTAACACGGTTACCAGCGCTGCGTCGAGGAAGTCAGGCTCGGGGGCGGGAGTGTAAAGCACCTGCACGGGGTGCTGCCTGCCGCGGATGTACACAGCGTGGGCGGCGGGGAAGAAGTCGAGGAACTTGCGCGACTCAAGGGTAGCCGACATGACTATCACCTTGAACTCGCCTGAGCTTGCACTTGTGCCTGCACCTGCCACTACGCCTGTGCCTGCAGCAGTCTCCCCTATTTGCCCGTCTGCCTCTCTGTCTGCTTCTCCCTCCCTGCACTCCTCTCCTCTCCGTCTCTTCTTCCCCTTCCGCCCCTCCATGTCCCCATCCTCTGCCTCCCTCCCACCGCCCACCACCTTCCCCTTCTGCCCCTGCCCACCCATCCCTACACCTGCCTCCCCTTGGGCAAGCGCATGGCGGCGGGCCTGCACCTGCTGCAGCAGCCCCAGCAGCACGTCCGTGTTCACGGTGCGCTCATGAGCCTCGTCCACCACCACCACGCCGTACCGCCTCAACAGCGGGTCCAGAAGTGCTTCCCTGAAGGTTGTGACATCGGGAATGTGGAAACAGGGTGTTTGTCTGTCTTGCACACCTGGGTGCTTCACGGTGCGCTCATGACCCTCGTCCACCACCACGCCGTACCAGCTCAATACAAGGGCCCACCAGAGCCTCCCTGGAGGAAAAAGGTCCACCAGAAGGAGCCACGGGAAATCTGGGAGAAGGGTGTTTACTACCTTACACGTCTGTCTGTCAGCCTCATCCTCACCACGCCATAGCCGTGAGGAAGAAGGTCCAATAAGGACAAGACAGGTTGCAAGGGACCATGGACACGGAATCACCAGAACACTCACCTGAGCATGCACCTGTGCGTTACAGTTACTAAACATTACTTAGGCTCTACAGAACACCACCACCGCCGGTCGCACCTGAGCAGCATGCCGTTGGTGAGGTACTCGATGTGCATGCGTGGTGCGGGTGGAGGTGACATAAGGTTGACCTGCGCTGCGCCCTACTAAGCACCACCACACTGGATGCACCGCCTTGGCCTTCACCGCAGCTTACCTGAGCAGCATGCCGTCAGTGACGTACTCGATGTGCGTGCGTGCTGTGGGAGGAGGTGCCATGGAGTTGACCCGCGCACCACCAAGTACCACACTGGGTGCACCAACTTAGCCCTCACCGCACCGCACCTGAGCAGCATGCCATCAGTGAGGAACTTGATGCGCGTGAGCGAGCTGGTGACGTCCTCGAATCGCACGCTGTACCCCACCTCCTGCCCCACGCCCACCCCCCTCTCCTCCGCCACGCGCGCCGCCACCGTCACTGCTGCCACTCTGCGCGGCTGTGTGACGGCGATTGCTTGGTGTGGGGCGAGCAGGCCCGATGAGAGGATGAACTGAGGGAGCTCTGCGGGGGAGAAGGAGAGGGAAGAGAGGGAGAGCGAGCATGAAGGAATCACTGTGACTGCTGCCACACGCCGCGGCTGTGTGACGGTGATAGCTTGGTGTGGGTAGAGCAGGCCCGATGAGAGGATGAAATGGGGGAGCTCTGGGGGGGAGGGACAGGTGAAGAGGGAGAAAAAGAGTGTGAAGAAGAGAGGAGAGAGGGAGGCAAGGTGAGTGAGCGAGTCCCAGGCAGAATGGAGAGATGAGGGGAACCAGAGGATGGGGGTGCACAGGAAGAGGGGTTCACGAGGATGCTCGGGGAGAAGGATAAAGGAGGGGAGAAGGACAAAGGAGGGGAGAAGGACAAAGGAGGGGAGAAGGATAAAGGAGGGGAGAAGGATAAAGGAGGGGAGAAGGATAAAGGAGGGGAGAAGGACAAAGGAGGGGAGAAGGACAAAGGAGGGGAGAAGGACAAAGGAGGGGAGAAGGACAAAGGAGGGGAGAAGGACAAAGGAGGGGAGAAGGACAAAGGAGGGGAGAAGGACAAAGGAGGGGAGAAGGACAAAGGAGGGGAGAAGGATAAAGGAGGGGAGAAGGATAAAGGAGGGGAGAAGGATAAAGGAGGGGAGAAGGATTAAGGAGGTGGGGGGGGGGGGGGTGTTGCAAAATCGAGGGAGGGACTCACGAGTGGTCTTGCCGCTGCCAGTCTCGCCCACCACCACGAGTGTGTGTGCCGAACGCACCTCCTCCACCAGCTGCTGCTCCACTGCCGTGCATGCAGGGGCCAGGTAGCACAGGGAATGGGGAGGGGTTGGAGGGCAGTGGAGAGTAACGGAGGGTATCGAAGATTACTGAAGGGTATTGGAGGCTATGAAATGGCTCATAGGAAGGCATTAAATGCTAGTGGAGGGTGCTGAGGGGTGTTGGCAAGCGAAAGCTAGACAGTCATACTACTGCAGCCATTGAGACAATGGGGACACCGTACCTGCACCCATGGGAGTGCCGTACCTGCAGCCATGGGAGTGCCGTACCTGCAGCCATGGGAGTGCCGTACCTGCACCCATGGGGTTCCCGTACCTGCGGAGATGGGGAGCTGCTCCGCCATTTCTCTCGCCGCGCGCATCCGCGCCTCCCGCTCCGCGGGGCCGGTGCCCGCGCGCATCTCCCGCTTGCCCATGCCGCCCGCTACCCGCGATCACAAAGACTCGGGGTTCAGGTTTTCGGGTTCCGGGTTCTGACTAAACCCCGATTCTGGGTTTCACGAGAGCTTCAGGTGGAATCTCAAAAAAAGGGGGTCTGAAAGCGCTGGAATCCGTTCCCCCACTGCAAGGCAGGTGAGGGCGTAATGCAAGCGCGCTGAGTAGGGTGTGTGCACAGAGTGCGGGGGGGACGCAAGACAGCCGCGCCACTAGTCGCGGGCCCCTGCAATCGTTTGAGCGCAGCCCGAGTCACTGTTTCGGAAAGCGGACAGCGATGCCGTTTTGTGCGCAGAGTAACAGCGCCGCAAGCCGCTGGCCCTAGCGTACTTGCTCCATGCAGTGCGACGATATATCTCAGAGCTTCTCTTCGAGTGGTTTGCGCGCGGGTCGCATGCGAAGAGTAAGCGTGTCACACTAATTCAGTCCCTCGTAGCATCTCTCTCAATCAACCGTTCCAAACGAGAGATTATAACCGTTCTGGCTTGCGAAGCCGCCAAACTGCGACTTGCCGGAATGACGTGAGTCGGCATTCTGGTGAGTGCTCATACTTCTCGTTTGTGACGTCTGCGCTGCATGTTTGAATTCACCGAAACAGACGGTGCACATATGATACAAGTATCAATTTAGTCCTAAGCGTGAGACGATATGATATGCTAGTGTGCGTTCCTTGTTGAACAGTGACCAATATGGCGTGCAGAAGGCTCGACCTGTTACAATACGTACGGTAAGATGCACTCCTGATGCGGCGATGGTCCGCTCCACCTGAGCAATTACAGTACTATAACCCTTCCAATGTACCGGTGGTTCTTGCTCATTAGCTGGACAGAGTAAGGGAAACACCCTACAACATGCTCTACCCACCTATAATTGATTCATTACTATATACAGCAAGCACATCGGCAGCACTGTGCACCGAGGAAGGAGGGGCATGGGTCAGACTAGAGTAGAGCGCAGGTGGTTCGTGCAGGAGGGCAGTGGAGACGTTGGGTACGCGCCACTCTGCTGTCCAGCTGCCCTTGCAGGCTTTCGAGGTGCCTCAAAAGTAGGCTAGAGCGAGGGCGGGTCGTGCAGGAGGGCAGTGGTGAGGTCGGTGACCTTGGGGTAAGCCACTCTGCCGTCCAGCTGCCCCTGCAGCCATAGTAGCATCCTCAGCACACTCGGCAGCTTCGGATCTGCGGCACAGAGGGGGTGATGGGAGGGGGGGTTAAGGGGAAGGGGCGCAACGGGTGAAGGGGGAAAGGAGGGGAGGGAGGAAAAAAAAGGTAGAGTGCAGTTGACAGCCTGAGAGGAGAGCAGAACACCATCCCATTCTGTGACCTTTTAAAGGCATTGCTGACCCCTTTAAGGGCTCAAACTAACCTTGCTTGGGCTACCAGCCCCTCCGTTCCACTAGCATTTCTCCTCGTACCATCTTTTCTACTCACCTCTCACCACTGGTTCTCTCCATAGCTTGCTGTCCATGTCACCAGCTCTCCTCACCTCTCCTCACCTCTCCTCACCTCTCCTCACCTCTCCTAACCTCTCTTTACCTTAACTCACCTCTTCTCACGTTCTCACACCTCTCCTCACATTTTCTTCAGCCCCTCACCTTCCTCACCCCTCTCACCTTTCTCTCCCCCAACCCCAACCTCTTCCCCTTCCCCCTACCGCAGCCCCATCCCGAGCACCTTTCTCGTAGCCCTGGATCATTTCCCCTTCCCCCCTTTCGAACCTCCTTCCCTCTTCCCTGTCCCTCCTGGTGCACCTTTCTGGTGGCCATCCTCACCTTCTCCCACCCACCACCCCTCTCCCCCCTTACCTTTCTCGTGACCCTGGCTCGCCAGGATGGCGGCGTTCAGCTCAGCGGCCGCCTTGTCGCGCTGACTCACGTCCAGCAGCTCTGCCAGCGTGGCAGGTGCTGACGTGGCGGGGTCCTCAAACGCCAGCAGGGCAACGGTGCGCTCCAGCTCCTCCAGATAGGCTGCCTGGCGGGATGAGGGTGGGAGGGTGGGCGGGGGTGGGGTGAGGGTGGGTTGAGACAATGGTGAGGGTGAGAAGAAGGGAGAGGAGGAAGACGGCATGGGGGGACAGCAGGGAGACGATGGTGAGGGTGCGCTCCAGCTCCTCTAGATACGCCGCCTAGCGAGCGATGGAACGAGGTGGCGGGAGGGTGGGGGGAGGGGGAGGTTGGGGGAAGGGTGTTGGGAGATAATGGTGAGGATGGGACGATGGGAGAGGAGGGAAATGACATGGGTGGAGGGCGGGCGACCGAGGGAGAGAGGGGGGGAGGGGGGTGGGGAGTTTCAGCAAGTGCAGCAGCATCATGAGTGAGTGCATGGTGGAGGAGGGGGGAAGGGAACGGTGGGACGGGAGGCGCGTGCAGCAGATGGGTGAGTGCGAGAGGGAGCGAAGCGCGAGTGGGGAAGGATGGTAAGGGAGATGGGGAGCAAGAGGTGGCAGAGAGAGGATGGATGGGGGGAGGCAATTCACCTGCAGGCGCCTTCCCACCTTCCCCCCCTCCTTCTCTCCCACCACCCCCACGGCCTCACCCCCATTCCCAACACACACACTGATGCTTCCATGACTGCGCTCAGCCACGCTTCCCTCTCCACCTCAGCCACAGGCCACCTCGGTGCATGGCACATCCCAGCCTCCCAGCCTCAATGCATGGCACATCCCAGCCTCCCAGCCTCAATGCATGGCACATCCCAGCCTCCCAGCCTCAATGCATGGCACATCCCAGCCTCCCAGCCTCAATGCAGGGCACATCCCAGCCTCCCAGCCTCAATGCATGGCACATCCCAGCCTCCCAGCCTCAATGCATGGCACATCCCAGCCTCCCAGCCTCAATGCATGGCACATCCCAGCCTCCCAGCCTCAATGCATGGCACATCCCAGCCTCCCAGCCTCGATGCATGGCACATCCCAGCCTCCCAGCCTCGATGCATGGCACATCCCAGCCTCCCAGCCTCGATGCATGGCACATCCCAGCCTCCCAGCCTCAATGCATGGCACATCCCAGCCTCCCAGCCTCAATGCATGGCACATCCCAGCCTCCCAGCCTCAATGCATGGCACATCCCAGCCTCCCAGCCTCAATGCATGGCACATCCCAGCCTCCCAGCCTCAATGCATGGCACATCCCAGCCTCCCAGCCTCAATGCATGGCACATCCCAGCCTCCCAGCCTCAATGCATGGCACATCCCAGCCTCCCAGCCTCAATGCATGGCACATCCCAGCCTCCCAGCCTCAATGCATGGCACATCCCAGCCTCCCAGCCTCAATGCATGGCACATCCCAGCCTCCCAGCCTCAATGCATGGCACATCCCAGCCTCCCAGCCTCAATGCATGGCACATCCCAGCCTCCCAGCCTCAATGCATGGCACATCCCAGCCTCCTAGCCTCAATGCATGGCACATCCCAGCCTCCCAGCCTCAATGCATGGCACATCCCAGCCTCCCAGCCTCAATGCATGGCACATCCCAGCCTCCCAGCCTCAATGCATGGCACATCCCAGCCTCCCAGCCTCAATGCATGGCACATCCCAGCCTCCCAGCCTCAATGCATGGCACATCCCAGCCTCCCAGCCTCAATGCATGGCACATCCCAGCCTCCCAGCCTCAATGCATGGCACATCCCAGCCTCCCAGCCTCAATGCATGGCACATCCCAGCCTCCCAGCCTCAATGCATGGCACATCCCAGCCTCCCAGCCTCAATGCATGGCACATCCCAGCCTCCCAGCCTCAATGCATGGCACATCCCAGCCTCCCAGCCTCAATGCATGGCACATCCCAGCCTCCCAGCCTCAATGCATGGCACATCCCAGCCTCCTAGCCTCAATGCATGGCACATCCCAGCCTCAATGCATGGCACATCCCAGCCTCCCAGCCTCAATGCATGGCACATCCCAGCCTCCCAGCCTCAATGCATGGCACATCCCAGCCTCCCAGCCTCAATGCATGGCACATCCCAGCCTCCCAGCCTCAATGCATGGCACATCCCAGCCTCCCAGCCTCAATGCATGGCACATCCCAGCCTCCCAGCCTCAATGCATGGCACATCCCAGCCTCCCAGCCTCAATGCATGGCACATCCCAGCCTCCCAGCCTCAATGCATGGCACATCCCAGCCTCCCAGCCTCAATGCATGGCACATCCCAGCCTCCTAGCCTCAATGCATGGCACATCCCAGCCTCCCAGCCTCAATGCATGGCACATCCCAGCCTCCCAGCCTCAATGCATGGCACATCCCAGCCTCCCAGCCTCAATGCATGGCACATCCCAGCCTCCCAGCCTCAATGCATGGCACATCCCAGCCTCCCAGCCTCAATGCATGGCACATCCCAGCCTCCCAGCCTCAATGCATGGCACATCCCAGCCTCCCAGCCTCAATGCATGGCACATCCCAGCCTCCCAGCCTCAATGCATGGCACATCCCAGCCTCCCAGCCTCAATGCATGGCACATCCCAGCCTCCCAGCCTCAATGCATGGCACATCCCAGCCTCCCAGCCTCAATGCATGGCACATCCCAGCCTCCTAGCCTCAATGCATGGCACATCCCAGCCTCCCAGCCTCAATGCATGGCACATCCCAGCCTCCCAGCCTCAATGCATGGCACATCCCAGCCTCCCAGCCTCAATGCATGGCACATCCCAGCCTCCCAGCCTCAATGCATGGCACATCCCAGCCTCCCAGCCTCAATGCATGGCACATCCCAGCCTCCCAGCCTCAATGCATGGCACATCCCAGCCTCCCAGCCTCAATGCATGGCACATCCCAGCCTCCCAGCCTCAATGCATGGCACATCCCAGCCTCCCAGCCTCAATGCATGGCACATCCCAGCCTCCCAGCCTCAATGCATGGCACATCCCAGCCTCCTAGCCTCAATGCATGGCACATCCCAGCCTCCCAGCCTCAATGCATGGCACATCCCAGCCTCCCAGCCTCAATGCATGGCACATCCCAGCCTCCCAGCCTCAATGC